TGTGAGTTTGCTTTGTTTAAAATGGGCTGCAGATTGCTTTTTTTTTTTTTTAAAGTCAGGGAAATTTGCCTGAAATTTGGGCCTCTGAGCTGCAGTTTGTGCAAGTTTGTGAAAATTGGGCACCGATCGGAAATTAGCAGTCAGAAAATTCAAGGCAGCACTTGGGTAAATGCAGAGGGAGGATGAGGCTATCAGATCTACATGCTACAGTGAGACAACCAAGGCTTGAAACTAATGAATCTGCCCTAATTTGTGCAAATTTCTGTGATTTGCATAAATTTACACAATTTGTGCAAATTGCACCAGAGACATATGAGCTGAAGCACCCTCACCCCGCCCAGATTTGGCGCACTTTTGGCTGTGGGGTTGGAAATGTGTTGAAAGTCTGTTGGACTCAAATGGAAAGAGTTTTTCCACTGTCACACTTCCCTAGCCTTTGCCCTCTGCACACGATCAATTCAAGGCAAAGAGAAAAGTGCTTCAGACTCTTCTTTGGCAGAAGCCACAAAGTCTATTTGGCATCTTCCAGTTGCTGTCTTGTTTGGCTTTTGGACAGGCAGAGCAGCCTCATTTTTCCAACTCAGATCCCTCCGTCCTTATTCCAGATAGGTAAATGCTGAGTCATAACTGCTGAGCCGTACTGAATAAAAATAGAGAGTCATTTTATCTCTTTTCAATCAGATAAACTGTCTTATGTTAAATATATCTTGGGGAATGCCAAATGAAGCAGTAACTTCTTGGACCATCTGCTTTTCCCAGTTTCTGAATTAAAACGTGCACAGCCTGTGGCTAAATGCTTGGCCTCTTGCTCCTGATACAGATTTTACTCTCTGCTCCATATTTACGGAAAGAAAGATTTACAAGGATACTTAGAAACATCAGCACACCATTCTGCACCAGGAGTTCATTACAGAGAAGCCTATGCAAGATATTTCTCCCAGGTGGGCTCCTATGCTGAATGCAAAGGAGGCTTCCCCGCTCTCCTGTGCGGAGCTTGCAAAATTATAATCTATTTTATTTTCAGTCTGGAATAATATCATGCAGGATTGTAGAGCTGTCGTTTGTTACGCATTTTGCCATAAAGCCCCGATTACCTCTGAAGCTCAGGAAGAAGCCCAAATTCTTTAACCATGTATCTTTCCTGACCCTGCTTGTTACAAAAATCTAGCTTCTAAATGTAGGTTGGCAGGCAGGTCTGGAAGCTTTTGTGAACTGGGTGCCAGTTTCAGATCCAGGAAAAGGGGTTGGCCTGATCCTGTCCCTGATGTGCAGGTTTACTACATGCAGGGAGATCTCACACACACAGTCCAAAGTTGCTGCCCCCCACACTTGGGGGATGCTGTAGTCCTGGCCCTATGGGGTAAGTTTAGGAGGCCTGAATCAGAGGTGTGGGACCTCTGATGGAGGAGGAGGCCATCCGTGGCTACTGGTCCTGGTGGCCCTGTCCTGCCTCCAGCGCCCAACTGCAAGCCCACTTGGGCTGGATTGGACCCCTGGGATCTGGACCCCTGCCCTGAGGCATGTGGGCGGGGTCTGTGCTGTGGCCCCTCCCCTAGTCACGACCTCCTCTTTCTCAGAAATGGGGCATGGTCGATGAGGGTGGAGCTACAGCACAGGCCCCACCCCCAGGGCTTGCAGCCTCTCAAGCGACCCTTGGGGGCTGCGTGTAAGAGGCCGGGTCTGAGGAAGCCCCCTGTGTGGAGCCTGTCCGGAGCCACATCGGCCAGTGGGGCAGATTTCCGTGAGGAAGGCAGGATGTGCCACACACAACAGACATCTCAACAGAGCCCGGGGCCTGAGGAGCTAGTTTACTGCTTGCAGGGATTGTAAGAATGGCCACTCATCTGAAGTGCCAGATCCTACCCTCCCACACTACCAGTTCATGGCAGCATGTAGTCAGGTAGCTATTTATTTAGAATTTTTGTATGCCATCACTTATTTCTTAAGTAGGAACTTTGTTTATAGATTGAGGCCCCAACCCCTTTTTAACCTCAACTGCATCTTCTTACTGGTTAAATCTGTCGCTCCCTTTTCTGTCTTCAGTAGACAAGCTGAGCACTTCTGCCCCCGTTTCTGTCAACTTCAGGGCTATTATTTTGCATACAAAAAGGCTGAATGAATCCAGTTTTTCCTACCATACAGTTGTACTGCAGGATTCTTTGCAGAAATGCGGCATTTGGTCCTGGGCAAACGATTCAACATCCAGAAAGTCTCCATGTCTTTCTTTTTGAAAACAAGTTTCTAGTCCTTATGGATTCAACAAAAGGCTTGAAAATATATGGGTACTTGATTTTGGTATTATCCCACCGTTTTTCCAGCCAGAAACTCAAGGCATCTTACATCAGTCCTGTTCTGCTCCATTCTATCCTCACAACAATCCTGTGAGGTAGATAAGGCTGAGATCAGTGATTGGCTCAGTGAGTTTCGTGGCTGATGAAATCTCAAAAGCTAGAAGAGGGGATGAACAGGAGTTCCAGCCATTGTTCCCTGGAGAACTGTTTTCCCTCCCCAAAACTGAAGGGATGAGGAAGATGTGGCCATCCAGATCTGTTTTCTATCAGCCCCAGTCAGCATGGCCAATGGTCATGGATGATGGGAGCAGTAGTCCAACATCTGGATGGCTCCAGGTGCTTTACCCCACTATAATTGAATTGTACAATAGAAACAACTCCACATCAGCAGCCTTGATTGTGCTTTTCTAAATACTGGAACTGATAGATAGATATGCTATTTTCCAGAATTTATATAGGTTAAGAATGTAAGAGCCTTGCTCGATTCAGACCGAAGATCCATCTAGTCAAGCAGTCTGTCTCCTATGCCGACCAATCCACTGCCTTCAGGAAGTCCAGGACAGGAAGGCAAAACCCTTTCCTGGTTACTCTTTCCCTGCTTTCCTCCTCTCTCTCTTCCCCTAGCACCTTAGATTTCTGAAAGAGGCCCATCTCCCAATTCTCCTCATGGGGAGGGCAAGTTAGCCTCCAACAGCAGCAGAGCCTTGTTAGCAATGGCACCAACACCGTCGAATGTGTACAGATCCACACAGCCTCTTCCCCGCTTACTTTCAGGAAACGGGCAAAACCTATTTTGTTCGAATGTCAGTTTAGCTAACCCAGGCAGTTTAGCTAACTGAAAAGACAGCTGTTGATCTTTCACTCCTTTGTCTAACCCTTTAAAAGATTTTTCAGGGTACTGGCCCTCATTGCTCCTCCTGGCAGTGCGGGGCCTGCTGATCTGTTTGGGAAGAAATTCTGTACATGGCATTGCTTTTTCAGAGTGCCTAAAGGTGTTTTGTGTCTCTGTAAGCACTTGCTGTTTGGGCTGATGGAGGGGAGGAAGTTTCCACTGTCCAAATTGGGGGCAGGAAATGGGATTTTGGGGAGGGATTTTTTTTTTTTTTTTTTGAGGGGGTGGGATTCAAACCCACCTCTGCCTAGTACAAAGTTGGGAACCTTGAGCCATTCTCTAGGTGCCTCTGCTAACCCTGCAACATCCGCTCCTTGATGTTGTCCCCAGACCAGTGGGATCCCTTTTACCTAGGAAGAGGCTTCCTGGGCAGAACTGGGCTGCAGCAGGAAGCTGTTGTTTGGGCAGGTGGACCTGGAGAAAAAAGCTGCAGGACAGACTTCTCAGGGTGGGTGAGGTTTGTGGCATCACCTGAACTGCAACCTTCATCAGTTGCAATGCGAAATATTTTGGGGCGGTCTGGTCTTGAATGAACAATTTACTAACAGCCTGCTCCTGGTAGAGATGAAACTGCTAAACTTGTTTGTTCCAGATTTACACAGCAGCCTGAAGTTCTTTTTTTTGGTTGGGGGGGAATGGTGGCTCTGGGGACTGTCATGATGAGTACTGGCCCCTCAAAGTATTCCACATCACACCTTGGTGGGGTGACGTTCCCCCGCTAGTCTTAAAGGGACCCTCCTGACAAGTTGAACTCTGCAGTGTGTGCGGATGTGAAGGAATCAGGAAACAGCCATCCATACTGAATTCACTTCAGAAATCTTTGCTTTGCCAGAATGAATGTTTGCCACCTTGCCAATGAGAAGAGAGACGGGTTTCTTGCTGTCCCAGGTGAGCAACTCACCTGTTGAGCAGTCCTTTGGTGGGGAAGCAAGATATGCCCAGGTACTGAGAATCTATTTGCAATCTGGGAGGTGCATCCCAGAATCCTGTTCAAAGGAGATGCTCAGGTGCACCTCTTGGATTTGTCAGGGCAAAGGATGCTGGGACAGGCCTCTAGTGCAACAAGTACCTGGGACAGGTTAGCAACATGTTCTGCACCCTGAGGCCAGGACGCCAGGACACTTGGCCAAGCCCCACATGAAACAGAAAAAAACAGCAGGCCCTAGCACAACACATTTTAAAATAACCCGATCATCCATTCCACAGTAGGCCTCAGGGCAGTAAACATCAAAGGGTGCCAAGCCATGACACAGGGTGATTGGCGCCTCCTTTGCAACCAATGCAACCTCAGCTGCGGTGACTTACATCCATGCCACACTAATCGGTCGTTACCTTTCAGCTCACATGCCTCTTACATTGACGTTTTGTGCCCTGTAACCGCCTTCAGAACTGCTGGCTAGCAGGCAGGGTGGAGATATTTTAAAGGAGGAAATGAAAAATGACAGCAGCTCCTGCTCTCACTTAGCCTCAGGGCAAGAGGAGCCTGACTCTGTAAGGGAGACCACACTGGTCCCGTTTGACAGATGGGGTGGCAAGAAAGAGAGAGACTGATGAACCCCAAAGAATCTTCCATATCTAGAGCTGAACTGGGCATTAGAAGCAGACATCTTGTGCCCACAGACTAGCCCCGTCTTGGTTGACACCGATCCCATTGTTGAAAAAATTACGCTGGTGAGAACCCTATTTCTAGACACATTTGGAAGAACGAGACACAGCAAGGCCATAACAAGGACCTTTCTCCACCACCTTGCTGGGAAATTGGGATTCCCTGCTCAACACAGGAAGATCACCCAAGGAAGCCAAGATGTTCCACTTACCGAAAGACAGTACGAAAAAGAAGGGCAGCCAGCAGAGAATGAAAACTCCAACAACGATGGCGAGCGTCTTGGCGGCTTTCTTCTCCCTGGAGAACTTCAAGAGGCGCACGGAGAGGCTGCTCCGGAAAGTGTGCCCTTTGCCTCTGGTGCTGGCCATGGAGTCTTCGAGGACGCTTCGGCAATGGATGCGGAGCACAACCTCCATGGACTTGCCCCGCTCCTTCTTGACCCCGGCCTCCAAGCTCTTGGTGGTCCTCCTGGCCACCACGTAGATGTTGAAGTACATCACCAGGATGACCAAGAGCGGCAAGTAGAAGGAGAAGAGGGAGGAGAAGAGGGCATATCCTGGCTCCTGGGTGATGTCGCAGTGCTGGTCGTTGTCCGGCGGAGGCTCCTTCCAGCCCAGGAGGGGCCCGATGGAGATGACCATGGAGGAGAGCCAGACCACCACCAGGATGATCACAGCCTTCTTCTCAGTCATGATGGTGGGGTACTTGAGCGAGTATTTGACCCCAATGTACCGATCCACCGAGATGATGCACAGGCTCATGATGGAGGCGGTGCAGCAGAGGACGTCCACCGCTGCCCAGATGTCGCAGAAGATGCGGCCAAAGATCCAGAGGTCCAGGACCTCCAGGGTGGCTGAGAAGGGCAGGACGGTGGTGCTGAGGAGCAGGTCAGCGATGGCCAGGTTGATGATGAAGTAGTTGGTCACCGTCTGCAGGTGCCGGTTGCAGGCCACGGAAAGGATGACCAGGATGTTGCCCACGATGGCCGAGAGGATGAAGATGGCCAGGAAGACCCCCACACCCACGGACTGCACGGTCAGCTGCAGGACCAAGGAGGAGCTGCTGTTGGAACTAGCATCCTCTCCCTCCCAGGACCCGTTAAACCCGCTGGACGCCTCTCCCGAGTGGCTCCCATTCAAGCTGGCATTAATCCGCTCAGAGAAAGTCATTCTTTTCTAAAAAGCTGCGGTCTCCATGTGGCTGGCTGGTGGCAGGGATGCTGACGGAGGAGCAACCGCCACGGCGGGCACCGGCACCGGCACCGCCGCTCAGCTCCTCTCCGGATCCGGACTTTTGCCCCCTGTCCCTCTGTCGCCCGCACCGCACGCGCAAGTGAAAGCCAGGAGTTAATTCCACTTCTCTCCCCCGCAGCCCACTTGACAGTCCCTGCAAACGCGGACCCTCTCTCCGCTCGCTTCTCTTCACGTCACTCTCTGCCCCCCACCCACCATCGGGGATGTTCTTCAGGACCTACCACCTCCGCGCTTCCCCCGTGCGCGCACAGCTTTCTCTCGCAAAGGCGCTGGATCTCAGCGAGTCCCCCTCCTTCCCTGCCTCCCTCCTACAGGCTCCGCGGAGCGTTAGGAGGGGCGTGCGCGCGCGTCCGCCTGCGCGCGTGAAGTGTCCTCTGCCACGCATTCTCCTTCCCCAGGTCCTCGTCCGGCAGGTGTGCGGGGCACCTGGGCAGCTGGGCCGCTCCTCCCCCGCCCCCAGCCCCCAGCCCCCGGCCGCGGAGAAGTATTTAGGCAGGACCCGCCCCGCCCGCGCCGCTTCCTCGCTGGCGCCTCCGCAGTGCCCGCGCGAGGCTAAGGTCCCTCGCGGCGAGCGTCAAGGGAGCGGGCTGGCTGGGGGGCCGCTGGGGGGGAAGGACGAAGCGAGCCTCTTGCGCGCCCCCGCCGCACCTCGCTTCATCCGGGCAGACGGGGCGGCTGCGGCTGCGCTGGCCCAGGCGAACCTCGCTCCCGACGCCGGCGGGTCCGTGCCGCGGGCATCCCTCGGGCTCGACGCGGCGGCGGCGGCGGGCGCGGGACGGACGCGGTCGGGCCGGTGCCGCGGAAGCCCCGGGGGCCGAGGCGGGCGCGGGGCGGGAGGCGCAGCCGCTCAGGTGTGCAAACTTTGCGGCCAGTTGGCGGCGGGCGCGCCGAAGCGACGGGGGCGGAGGAGCCTCGGCGGCTCTCCCGCGTCCGCACTCGTCCCCCCGCTCGGTCCGCGGCGGCGGGGCGGCTACGCGCCTTCCCAAACTCCTCCTCGGGAGGCTCGGGGGCTTGGGGGGGGGGGGTTGGGCGGTTTGGCGGAGGGAGGGAGGGCGATCCAGCGGTCCGGGGCGCAGGAGCGAGCGCGCGCGCTGCGGGGTGCGGGGGGGAGGATCCGCTCGGCCCCCCGCGCCGCGCCGCGCCGCTTCGCAGGGAGCGAGCGCTGCAGAGCGAATGCGCTCCGGGTCGCTGGAGGGTTGTGTGTGCGTGTGCGTGTCGAGTCGAGTCGAGGGCGGGGGTGGGTGGCATGCGCTGGAAAGCGACCGAAAATAGATTCATTGAAGGATTCCCAGGTCCGCGGGCGAGGCGCCGCGGCGGCGCTAGGGGGCAGCAGAGGGCCGGCTGCGCCTCTCCGCGCAGCTCCCGGCAAAGCGGGGCGCCCGCAGCCCAACCGGCCAATTGCAGTCTCTTCTTGCGCATCATGGGAGCAATTATCCTGGAAGGATCCCCCCCCCCCCACACGCCCCGCTCGGCACGCGCCTTCCCTCCGACCTGTCGGATTCGTTTGCGCATCGGCGGGGGGGCTGGGGCCCACTGGCTTGGCAGCGTCCACGTCCCCACGGAACCTGCTGTACCTGCTGGGACGCATTGCACAGTAGGGGACCACGGACAGGAGGGTCTCCTCTTCCTCGTCCTCGCCCCATGGCTTCCTTGCTCACCGGCTCCCTGCCTGTCGAGCGAGCAAGTGCTGGCGAGGAGCAAAAGGGGGAAGTGCAAAAGCGGCCGCTGCCACTGGGGGCGAGGTTCCCAGGAAGAGGGGGCCGAAGAGGGGGCCTCGCCCGGGGCCCCCCAAGGCCTTGGGCCAGCATCGCTGAAATCGCACCTCAAGCGCAAGTCGGCCCTGTGTGTTTGCCGCCAGCCTCGGGTACCAGGCTGTCTCTCTGCGGGCGACCCTGAGAATTAATTTGGGAGAGTTCCTTACCTGGGGTTGGGGTGGTGCCTGGGGTGGTGCTGGGCATGGCTTGTGTGCCGGCTTGCAACTTCACGCTAGTCGCCATCTCTCAGCCTTGCCTACCTCACAGGGCTGTTGTGACGATGGACTGAAGAGGAGGAGAATTTCCATGGAGGAGTATTTTGAGGGCCTTTGGGAGCTGCAGGGCTCCAGACCTGTCCCTGGGCCCTTGGTCCTACTGCTGACATGGATTATGTGTGTCTGTGTGTGTATGTGGGGGGGGGGGTGTTGCCAGAAAAGGTAGCCCAGGAATTTAGCAAAGAAGTGCCTCTCTCGGGAGTCGGGAGCCAAGAACCACACAGGCAAACCCATGTTCCTTTGCTTTGCTTTGAAAAAAAACATTTCCCCATGAGCACACTGAGAAGCAAAACTGCAGTTGTATCCACCAGCGGAAACAATGCTGCGTATCATACGCGTCACGTGCCTTTTTAAGAGGAAAGAAAAAAGATGACACAGTTTGTAAAATGGTGAGGTGATGTGGGGAGAGGAGGAAGGGCAGTGGGAGGAAGGAGCAGAAAGTCTCCGTCCCTCTTTTTTCCTTAAAAAAATCCTATTCCGGAAGTCACCAGACTGTCACATGTTTATTTTGAAGAAAGAAGGAGCTTCCCCCTTTGCGGGTGTCTTTCTTGTCACCCGCAAAAGAATGAGGAGAACAGAGGGAAGATGCGGGGCCAGGGGCAGAGGTGGGATGCAGCCCCCTGGCCGAGTGCCCCCCCCAAACCTGGGAGGCCTTCTTACCCCCACTTTCATTTGCATTTAGCCTCTGATTGAATAGTCCGTCTGCCAAGGATCCCACCTCCCCACACTTCACAAAACGCGGGAGCTTCACGCTGCTTGTGTCAGGTTTGAATTGACCGGGAAGGAAATCCCAATGAAATGAATGGGATTGACTTCAAAGGAACGGTGTTTCGGTTGAGACAGGAAGTGTGATACAAACGGCAGGTTGCATCTCGATTTCTCTGGAGGAAGCCAACCCATTTACAAGCTCAGCTGCTTAGGAGGTTTGCTGAGGAAAGCAAAGATGGACTCTGGTATTTCTATCTCCGCTTCCTCCCATGCCCTTCCTAGAATTCATGGTTGTCTGGACAGGCATTGGCCCAATCCAAGATCCACTTAACTTCCTTCAACTGTTGCTCTATTGCTAGTTCAATTGCTGCAGAGGGAAGGACTAGAACCAGCATGTGGGCATTGAAGAGCAGCAGATCTTGGCTAAACTTTAGGAGAAATGACCCAATGAGATCTGCTTGGCCACGGAGCAGGCTGCCTTGGGAGGCGATAAGAGCATCTGAGGGGCCATGCGGGATCTCACCAAGGTCTCCTGTGCTTCACCATTCAGCTTAGAGGAAACCCACAAGGAAAACGTGAGTTCAGCAGCTCCATTCTGCTCACCTTCTCTGGAGACCAAATGACCATCTGCCAGGGATGCTGTGCTGGGGTCTGACACTGTAGACGCTGCATTGACCCAGGGGTTGGACTAGATGACCTCCAGGAACCCTTCCAGCTGGCAAAGTGTGCGATTCAATGTGTCATTTGATCATGGCCCTAGCCTAATCCTAACGTTATTGAGTGAATGCATTTAATTTATTTAGGGAAACATAATGCATGTAGAACTGTAGCATTTCATTCCTATGGGACAGGCATAGCATGGAGCTGAGTTTGCAGCCTCTTCCTCCCTTGCAGTGCCTGAGGCAAAGGACAAGGAGTGTCCCTGCTCCCAGTCCATGTACAGGAGGCGACTGGACCCCAGTGGGCTTCAGCAGAGGCGGCGCAAGAGCTTCCTGAGGGCAAGGGCCACTTTGGGGCCGCAAAAGACCCACAGCTGTGTGGCCCAAAAGACAGGAATGTCCAAGGGGGCTCTTTGGGGCCCTTTTCAGCCAGTGGGTCAGAATCGAGAGACGATACGCACACTTGTGGCTAAAGATGGAAGCACTATCTTAGCAGACCATAGCAAAGAGCTTCTATAGGCAGGGGAGAGCAGAGCGCCGTGGTTGTCTCCCTTCTATCATGGCGACCCCTCAAAGACATTACACAGGCTCCTTGCTTGCACCCAGCACCTCCGGTCAGCATTGAGGGGAGGTTCTTCTCTACAGGGGCTTTTTGGTGTTTACCATAATCGCACCTGCTTCTATTAAACTAGACCAGCCTTCCCCAGCCTGGTGCCTTCCAGACTGCAACGCCTAGAATTTCCGGTCAATGGCCCTGCTGGATGGGGATTCTGGGAGTTGCGGTCCAAATGCCTCTGAAGGCCTCCTGGTTGGGGAAGGCTGAACTGGACAGAATGAATATGTTTTGTACATAACTCACTGGGAGAGAATCTGAAAAGGTAACTGAAGATGCACCTTGGGCCTTCCTATACCAGGCAGCTGACCTTGGCCAGACCCATCTGGTGGTAAACAGCAGGGTCAGGTTGGCCAAGGAACTGCCCAAAGCATGGGCCATCTCTAGCTCAAACCCACCCAAACAATGGGCGATGAACATCTAAGCAACTGAGGTGTGGCCAACAGATCAGTGAGGGACCTTCTCAAGCACTTCAGCTGACCCTTTAGATTGTACCCAGGACTCTTGAGAAACAAAATTAATGCACAAGGGAGCTCTAGACCTCCTTGACCAGCTAGCAGCAAGCAGCAGTCAACAGCCAACTCCGTCTCCTGTGGAGAAGTGGTGAAGAACAAGGATGGGTCTACGGAGGAGAAGCGGACATGTGGGTGGAGTGGTTGCGCCCCACTGTCTCCTCATCACCATGCTGACATCCAGCATCTGCCGAACTGCTGGGCCAGCCCGTCCCACTGCTGTGGCTTCCTCCTCTTTGCCCTCCCCAGCCAGGGATGCTTCTTTCGAGATGGCTCAGGAGGGTGGAAGGCCGGGCTTCCAGAGTTCGTTGGAGTTCCTGCTGGTTCAAGGGCTGCCTTCAGGAAACATGGAGGAAGCCAGGTCTCTCTGGGCTGGGCTGCTTTTCCTTTATACCCCCTAAGATCCAGTGGTCCATGCTGATAAGAGAGCCTCCAGCAAGATTATCTATCAGGAAGGGGAAGTCTGGAACAGTGATGCCTGCTCAGAAATGAAGCTTCACAGAACTGGAACTCTCGTTT